GCGCCTAAGCGCCTGAAGGCGCCAAAGCGCCTAGAAGACCCTAAAAGCGTCTAAGCGCCTACAAGCGCCTGAGCGCCCAGCAGCACCTGAGCGCCCAAAGGCGCCTAAGCGCCTGGCGCCTAGGCGCCTATAAGGGACCCGAAACGCGCCAAAGCGCCTGAGGACAAGACCCCGAGCGCCTGAGTGCCGTGAAAAAAAAAAGGCGCCTGAGCGCCTGGAGGCGCCTAAGCGCCTAACAGCGCCTAAGCGCATCAAAGACCATGAAAGCGGCCAAAAGCGCCTAAGCGCCTAAAGCCGCCTCATCAACTAAAAGCGCCTGAACACCTCCGTAGCATGTGCTGTCTATGGACGGAAAAGACCCCAGAGGAAACGCATAAGCGTCTGAGGGCGCTGAGCGTCTAAGCGCCTAAGCGCCTCAAGATGGGCTGAAACCATGTAAGCGCCTCAGCGCCTAAGAATAGAGGCTTAGAGGCGTGCCAGCGGCCCGGCAGGGTAATAGAGGCTTAGAGACTTAGAGGCTTACAGGCGTGCCAGCAACCAGGCGGTACAATAGAGACTTAAAGGCTTAGAGGGTTAGAGGCGTGCCAGCAGACAGGCGGACAATGGAGGCTTAGAGGCTTAGAGGCGTAATCGAAATTCAGACCCCCCTTGCCACTACCATGAACAAGTCTACGTCGCTGTAACGAGGTGAACCAGAAGGAGTAGCAAGAGCGACATTGCTTAAAGATATCAAGCCCACAGCCCGTGGTCATGCTTGCACTGATGAAGATAGTCATTCTCCACATCGCAGTTCTGCAATGTCCTAGCCACGGCAAGCTGCAGTGATACGTCGTGCTGATGCTAGTTACAGTAGCCGACCATCATTGCGGTGCTGCTGCAGACAATTGTCAAGAGCACAATGATGCACGTATTGACGATCGCAGGGACGCGTCTAAAGGTAGCGGCTGCGGGGGCTCACCGCGCAACTCCTTCATGCAATTGGTACCGGTTCAGGTTGCAGTGAGGCCTGTGCATCTTCCTAGCAGGTGCTTGGCAGGGTTCAGCTTCCGACTGCTTTGAGTCGGTCTGGCGATCTGCCGCAAAAGCAGGCAACGTACCCCTTTTTGAAGGTTCCTCAGAGCAGTACTGTATATGTCCTTTGCGCACGACGCAAGGGGTATATCGCAGAGGAAAGCCGAAGAATGCAACTCGCGAGCTTTGGGCTTTGGGGGGGTCTCGTTTCTGTTTTCCTTGCGACTCTCTAACGGAGAGGGGAGAACTTGAGGGGAGAATGCACACCGCAGCCCGACGCGAGACAGCGAGATCACCCACGGTCCTCTCCTTTCCTTTTGGGCGCAGAGGCCGCGGCGGCTTCTGAGTCCGGCGCCGAAGAGCACCGCGGCCGCGTCGGCGCCTCGGCGGCTCCCGATGCCCACAAGGCGCTCCGCTCCGCTATGCGCTTTCATTGATGGGGGCGTTTGCGGGGGGGCTGGAGGCTCTCAGAGCGGATCTTAAGAGAGAGCTGAAGGGAGAGAAGGAAGGGGAGAGGCAGAGGCAGCTGAGGGGTTTTGCGAGCCGCCGCCGGGTGTGGCAGTGCTCTCTGCGTTGCTTTGCCATCCACACGAGTTCTCGCTATGGCTTTGCTCGAACAGAAGACAAGAGGGAGAGCTAGAGACGCTTCAAGCCTGAGATCTTTTCAGGGAGAAGGGCCCGAAAAGGGGGGTTGTTGGTTTATTTGGTTTTGTTGGGCTCAGGCCCAGGCCGGGACCGTGCGCTTGCAAGGAAGGAAGCGACGTCTCTGCCGTCCTCGCTCTGGGAGCCCGCGAGGCAGGCGACGACCGCGGAGCGGCGTTCTTCCATCCTAGACGGTGCTCGTAAGTTGGGGGCTGAGGCTGTGGTTGAGCGGAAGGCTCCGGTGACGGAGACGGGCAGCCAGGTCGAGGCGCCGACGCAGCGGAAACCGTAGCTCGCGATGAGTCTGTGACCGAGGTCTCAATGCAGACGCAGGCGCCAGGTTCTCCAACTTGCGCCCAGCCACAAGAATCACGACCTGCAGGCTTCGCAGACGCTGATGGAGCTGAAGGATTCCACGACCCAAACGACTCCCACGGCTCCGGCGGCGGCGGTCGCCTCCACCCGTCCGGCTGCGGAGGGCCAAAGCGAGGGCGGAGAGCTCGCCGAAGCGCCCGAAACGCCGCCGCCGCCGCCTGAGAGAAGCTCTGTGTCTTTCCGGTGCCCCGGTGATGCACTGGTGCAGCGCCCTGGGAAGGAGTGAGCCACGGAGTGAGCTTCTTAGCGGTCCTGAAGACCCTTCCATGGAGGCAGGGGACGAAGCGGGGAGGAGAGGAAGGAAGGAGAGGAAGCTTGGTTGGCGCCTTCTTATGCCAGGCTGCTCACAGCGGAGCCGAAGCTCCAGCTCCGAGCTCGGAACCGGAGCTCAGGGAGGCTCCCGACGCCGCTGCTGTCGTCCCCGACTTCCGACAGACCATGGTGTTGGCCTCAGAAGCCGAGAGAGCCGAGAGCCCGGTAACAGGCGGCTAATTCGCGCGAACTCGTCTCTTGACTCTGATTTCTGAGTGCAGCTTGCGGAAGAGCTGAGAAGTCGTCCCATCACCTGGCTAGTTCGGGCACTTGTGGGCCACTGTGCGACTTACCTCCTCTAAAAGCTTCAAGAGGAAGCGACGACAAAGCTGATGGGGAGCTCCGACAGTTGGACTTGCGGTCTCTGAGGAAGCTGCGCATGAGCGACTCCGGCGCTTCTCCCAAAACAGCTCGGCCTCCGAGGCGAGCAGGGGACTCCGCTGCTGCTCTGCTGCTCTGCTGCTGCTCCCCCTTCTCCTCTCTCTCTCCTGTGCTCGGGCGGGCCTGGTGCAGGCGGTGCAAACCCAGGCCCAGGCCGAGCGGGCCGAGCGGGCCGAGGTGCCGGCCGAGGCGGCAGGCGAAGATTGGGCAAACGGCAGCGGCACGGACGAAGACGAGGACGAGGCGGAGGCCGGACCCCGTCGTAGCCGTCGCAGCGCTCTTGTTCCCTTCTGTTGCGAGGTTCCCTTGCAGCAGAGCACCGCCGCCCCCGGAGCCGGACGGAGGCCCCAAATTCTTTGCTCGTCTTTCTCGCAAGCAAAGAAGACGCGCGCGGGCGCGGGGAAGCTGAAGCTCTCTCTCTCTCTCTCTCTCTCTCTCTCTCTGTGCTTTGCAGGCTTAGTGTACCCAAGGCACGGGGCCCCACCTTGGTTCGGGAGCGCAGGGGGGCTGCACCTGCTAAGCGCTCTTCTGCGGCAGGTGCCAAGCAGCCTCGAAAGGAGAGCTTGGGGGCCACCTCTTGCAGACTTTCTCTTTCTCTCTGGGCAGGAGCCTCCAGGTTCCTTCGAAGTCGAGACGCCGCAGGCCGTTCCGGGGCCGAAAGCAGATCCGCATACGCCTCCTCTCTCGCGCCTCTAGCCGAATGTTTACGCTTCACTATACTTGGCTACGGGTCTCCTGTGCACTTTCAGGCGCCGCCGGATCCGTGCTTCCCTGCGGCTACTGAAGGCCATGGAGGCAGAGCCGGAGAGCGCCATATGTGGCCATTGCCAGTTTGGAGACTTTCTGACCGTCATGTTGTTTCAGGAGTCAGGGCGGCCAGCAGGCGCGCGCCGCAACTGCCCAGCTGCCCATCTCTCTCTCTCTCTCTCTCTCTCTCTCTCTCTCTGTCTGTCTGTCTGTCTGTCTGTGTCAGCGAAGACCTGCGCAGGCCAGGCGCTGACCATGTCGAGCATCTCCGACCTCTTGCGATCCAGGCGCGCGACGCGCGATGTGTCACGCTGCGCTGCGCGGCTCGCGCATAGCGGCCCCTGCAGCAGCCATGCAGTCACTAGCACTGTAGGCTGGTTTTGTCTTTGGGTTTCCCGTGCGGGGATTGCGGGCCTAGTCAAAGCCGTGGAGTAGGCCCCTGGCTAGGCATAGCATTCAACGCAGTGCAATGCCGACGGGTACCGACGAGCCAATCAGCTAGACGAACCTGACGATAAATGTCTAAGGCTAAGGACATCTATCTACATTGCTGCATTCACTTAAGCTCCTGGTTCGACCTTTAACGTTGCAAGACTGAAAACCTTCACGTGGCGAAAGCTGTCGTAGATAAGAACGCGCTTCAGGGTAGTCATGCCGGGTGGTTGGTGACGGCAGCGGACTGGGCTCTCCTGATGTCACGTCGTGGGCTTCCTCTTTCCCTCTTTCCCAAAAAAAAACACCCTGCTCACACCTGTTTGTCTTTGGATCCGAATAAAGCCGCATCGCTCGCCCGCGAGCTGAGGTCCGAGCAGGATCCGTCCCGGTCCTCGTCTCCAGGGGACGACGCCTCCTCCGCTTCCTCCTCGGAGCCGGAGGCTGCGCCCCCCCTCCTCCCTGTACTTGGGCTTCTGAGCCGCGCGCCGCTCGCTTCTGCGAGGTGGCGGAGACGAGTGCGCAGAGCAGCCTCGACTGGCGAAGCTGGAAGGTGCGAGACGGGGCCGAGGACTCACGGCGCGTGTCTGAGTCGGCTCAGGAGCTTCCCGTGGAGATCCTGGAGTGGCTGAAAGTGAACCTGATGCAGCGAAGGAGCTCAGAACCGTTTTTTTCCCTGGCCCCCCGCCGTGGGCGGCGACGCGGCGGCGACGCAGCCCCGAGGTCGGAAGAAGCGGGAGTCCACGGAGGCGGAGCTTTGCTTGGACTCGGCCACTGACCACCGGGGGGGCGGGGGGCCGGAGATGGTCAGACGGGCCCAGTTAACGGACAAATGTTCTTTGTAGGACTTTGGGATCAGAGGAGTCTGACTCGGAGTTTGCCATGGAGAGAGCCGAGCCGTAAATCGGGAATGGGGCACGGGCAGTGGTTCTGCCCACAGCAGAGGAGCAGAGCCGGCCTTCGGTTTTCGTGCAGAATCACCCTTGTAGCATTGCGTGGGGTCAGAAAACACGGAGAAAAATGGCAGCAACTACACGGGAATTTGATGTGTGTATAGCATCAGCAGACGAGAAAGGGGCCTTGATCAAGGTGGACAGGCTGAGGGATTGGAATGGAGCATGGAGCGGTGGCTGGATTGAGCTGTGAGAGTTTCCCGCCGTTCCGATTGGAGGGGATGGGACCTGCCTATGTACGGGCTGTGGTTGGGGGACACAGGCTTCCCACTGGCTCAGTGGGGCTGTGGTTTGGGATGAGAGGTTCTAGGAGTGGAGCCGCGCGCGCTGCACGTCGGCCAGGAGTCTACGAGGTGACGCCCCTGCAGTCCTGGCCGGAGATCTCGGAGGAAGCGAG